GGTCACTTTGTTGGATTTGCGTCACACACACTTTCAATTTGTCCCAACAAATGCCTCTGGTTGCCGGCTGTGTACCAAGCCCTGGGCCCCGGGGGAAGCCGGAAAGGGCAGGAAGACAGAAATGCAAGAGCCCCTGGTCATTCCACTCATCTTGGTTGAGGCTTGAAACTTAGTGCTTTGGAGCTGCTTGTCTTGGCCCCATGTGGCTCTGCCCGGCATTGCTCACCACTGACGGTGACAAAGATCCCAGGAGGGTGGCCGGGGGTGTTGGCAGGTACCCGAGCCTGGAGGCCTCTATCACGTACCCCATAGGAGTGGGATGGGCCTGTCCAATGCCATTTTATCTCAGGGTCTAGGGATCAAAAGCCTGTGATCATTTCAGCTGCGTTCACGCCTCGTCTTTTCTCAGCCTCCCGGCCGGGCGAAAAACCACACAGTAGTGGGAGTAATGTTTTGACTCGTCAGTGCCCACTGAGATGCTGTCTGCAGCCCCTGCCTCTGACTCAGCCCAACTAGCCCAGTTCCTCCCCACGTCTCAGCCCGGCGCGGCCATCTGCTGCCTCTGGGTGGATTTTGACTCATGTAAATAGTTACCCGTGTGACTTCAAGCCAGTTGGACAGAAGCAAGCCTGCTTGGTGAGGTGGCCTGGTCGGCCAGAAGAGGCTCCGTGTGCCAGGGGCAGTCTGCTGTGGCAGCTGCTCGGGATGGGGCGCCCCTGAGCCAGTGCAAAGTCTGCGAGTCACATTTTCCTGGGATCTTTGCTGGGCCCCTGTAGCCTCTCGTAGGACCTGGGGACTGATCGGTCTCTGGGCGTGTAAATCCTGCGTGCTGGCGAGTATTTGGCGTGAGACCAAGATTGCTGTTGACACAACAGATAATGGCATGTCTTTGGATGACCAAAACCAAAGATGTTCTGTTTGGGGCTCTACATACCAATTTGGAAAGCTTGAAAAACCAGGCTATGCAGGATGAGGAGCGTGCTCGTGGGGAGAGGTTGCAGGCTGGTGGCGCATAGCCCAGTTTGGGATGTGGATGCCTTTCGGCCAGGCGTGCTCTCTGCAGTTTGCCTCGGTCACCTGCACTGCCTTCCATGTCTCTGTCCCAGTCCTTTATGTCACCCGTCTGCCCTGCCGAGGACTCGGTTGTCAACCTCTGGATAAAACTACAAGGATTTAGCCTGGAGACAAGAGGCAATTAAATCATGCTCCATGAGGAGCTTTTAAAATACCGTGTCTTTTATTGCAGGAGAGGGCAGAAGTAATATATCAGGGTTTTAAAAGAAATGCAACAATGAAAAAAAAAATAGGAATTTTTCCACCACCTCCTGTTGCAGAGATAACCACTTTTAACAATTGGTATATATCTTATAAAAGCATGTTAAACCTACAGATTCAAGGTGAAAACTGTTCTCTATGTCCCGTGGCGTGGAAAAAGAGAAAAACAGTTTGAATCTCAGCATTTGAAAGAGCCTCGCTGTCATATATGAGGTTAACGTCGGAATCCACGACCAGAGGAGGTCCTGTGAAGCTCGCTTCCTTAGAGGTTCTGAACTGGAGCCCATCTGGACCAAGTCCAGTGACAACCTGATGCGGCTGGGGGTGGGGTGGGGTGGCTGGGACAGTTGGCAGCGGTGGTGGGGGCGGGAGGGGGAGGGGGGGGGGAGGCGGTGAGTCAGTGTTACTTGAAGTTCCTTCTAGCTCTAAATTTCTCCGATCTCGGACAACGCAGTCGTCGACTGTTCAAGTGGATTAAATCTGAATTATAAGGTACAAGCTGGAGTGTTTCTCCTGCGTGTGCCTCCACATTGCTCTCTGGAGCTTTGGTGGCCGTGGCAGGGGCGGGGAGGGGGGGAGGGTGTCACTCTCACTAACTCCTCACTTTCATGTCTTGCCTGGTCCACGTTTCTTTGTCAAAGTCAATGGCCTTCTTGATGCAAGAGTTCTGTGCTGCCCTGCCTTCAGAACCAAGCTCAGCGCTCTTGGTTTATGTGGGCCTGGTTCCATTTGTTATCTAAAATCTTCACAAATAACCAAATATCCAGCTCAAGGGTGGGGGCGGGGGGGCTTTTGTTGATTAACCTCCAGCCCCTTTCTCCCTTTCCCCCACACACCGAACACTGTGCCCACCCAGGAGACTCATTTCCCATTCATCTTCCTCTGTGAGTCCCTGGAAGGCTGGACATTGGTTTTTTCAAACATTTCCTCACCTCTGGCTATTCAGAGCTCTTGAGCCTTTATGAATGCTGATTCCTCCGCTCTGCAGTCTTCCTCAGGACAGCCTCTGGTTGTTTTTGTTTTTTTTCCAACCAGCCTTTTGTCTTGCAAAGTTCAGATAAAAACTCTTCTTTGTGCCAAGAGGTGGTGTACCCACGTGGGTAAGAATAGCGCTGTTCGGTCAGACATACTGAGCTCAAGTCCTGGCTCTGCCACTCATTAAACTCTGTTGCGTAATCTCTCTGAGCATCAGTTTCCTATCTGTAAAATGAGACCATTAAGTGTCTATTTCGTAGGGTTGTTGAAGAATGATGGGACCATCCATGAAAGGGCTCAGCACCTGCCAGGTAAATGCTCAGTGAGTGGCAGGCAACCCTGTTATCATGGTGAGCCTTCTGCAAAAGATCAAACTTGACCTCTGTGCTCATTCTCCCATCACTTTGTGGGACAAGATGTCCTACATCACACATGGCTTGATTCACAGTTTGGAGTGTTTTCTGATTCCACGAATGTGGGTTTAATCTCAAATAACTTGTGAGCCCTTGGAAGCTGGGACTTTTTTCTCTCTTCTTCCCCTTCCAAGCTCTCCAAGCCTAGCTGATCACTGAATCCTCAAATCTTGCCACATTGTTGATGATGGTAAAATAAATACCCTTTCCCGTGTTGTGAAGTACTCAGAATCTCGATTCTCTGCCCTCTTGGAGCGCGTTTAAGTAGGAGGGGTCTGAAATGACTGAAGGCTTGTGCAGTGACCAGCTTGAGCACTGCGTGGAATACACAGGTGCCCCAGGGGTATGCTGCTCAGGGAAAGGACAGGGCTCCAGTAAGAACTGTGGAATAATCTGTTTTGTCACTTCCTCCCAAGGATGCAACACTGCAAGAATCTCCTTGCGGACAGCAGGGGTCCCGGCAGGACTGCTTCCTTGTCCTAGCAGACAGCCCCACTCCAGGGTGTGGCTGAAAAGCAAGAGTCAGCTCCCTGGCATCGCGGAGCAGGCTGGAAAGTGCATTTGCAAGCCTGTAGGGCCCAGGACAAAGCAACCGAGGCAGGCTCTGCCATGCAGCGCCCCCAGGGGAGCCTAAGCAGACCCTCTCCTAAAAGCACAAGACTGGGGTTTCTGAATCTAGCATGGCGATCAGTTAGCAGGAGCAGCCTTTGATAAATCTGGGCTTATGCTTCCAAAGCCGGGCAATATTTGAGTTATGCTCAGGGATTTAGAAAGTGTCTCAAAGCGTGTGTGTGTGTGTGTGTGTGTGTGTGTGTGTATTTGCATGTTTCTGTGCATTTCTGCCATAAGAGGAAGGTGCCAGGATAAATAATTAGAAACCGTAGAGATGGTAAAGGCAGGAATCATTTTTAAAATTCTGTCCTAAAGTAAAATGGTAATTGGCCATTCATTTACTCAAGAGAAAGGCCCTCTTTGGGGACTTTATCTGGGACAATCTGACGGCAGCAGGGGTCGGGTAGGGGACGGACATCCCAGGTGCAGTGGCAGCAAGAGCTGCTTCCGCTGGAAGCCAGAGGAAGAGCTAGCTGGGGGCTCTGCTGCAGCCCTAGCCCAAAACCCAGGCTTCCGGTGCGTGGAGGAAGGAGCCCAAGGTAGAGTCAGAATAGAAAACCTTCTGTTTACAGTTTTGTTGTTGTTGTTGTTTACTCTGTTTTGAGTTTGTTGTCCAAGCCCTAAGCTAAGTGCTTCCCATGTGACCTTTTTCCTCAATTGTCTCAATGGCTCTATGAAGTGGACAGTTTCATCCCCATTTTATAGAAGAAACTGAGGCAAAACCAAGGCTCATAGAAATTAGGAGACTTGCTGAGCTAGGACATGGCACAGCTGGGATTTGAACACAGAGCCCAAGTTCTCAGCCCCTGTGCCACTTACACGGTCTGGATATCTCAGACTCCTTGGTCTTTGCATGGCTTTGTCATGGGAGACGTTGGCTGTCTAGTGGGCAGTACCTCATACTTGGGCCTCCATTTTGAGTGGATGCGTGGCGTTTGGGCAGGGGTCCGTACTTCCTTGTCTCTGCCTGGATCATGAAACATTCAGGCTGAGCTGGTCTTGCTGCTGGAAGTCTGGTTCTGGATGGGTGGAGTTTCAGTAGCTTCCCTGCCTGGTCAGATTATAAAATGTTGCAAGGAGGACACAAATGTGTGGAGAGGGCTTCTAGGAATTGGTCTGGACAAAGCTAGGGATATTGAGAGGGCAGAATGCCACCAACCTCCTGGGCCCTGCGTCTGGCTCTACTTGAGGTCTCTGCGGTCTCTTGGTTGGCCCAGATTCCTGGGGTAGGGGGTATGTATGGGCTGACTCACTGTCCTTGGCTGGTATCTTGGCGCTGATTCAGCACTAGCCATGGTTTTTGGAGGAGACCCAAGACAACTGTCAGCCACTGGAGGTCCAACCACTGTCCCAGGAGACATTTGGTCCAACACAGTCCAGTCTACCCTCCAGAAATAAGTGAACAGTGAGGGCTTGGGGGCTGTGTGAGTCATCTCTGGTCAGGTGGGAAGACAGGCCCAAGGGTGGCTTGTGAGAAGCGGTGGGAAGTGGGTCTTTGCTTTGTTTCTATTTTAAATAAAGTTACCTTAAGAGAGACCTAGAAGATCACTGATCAGTGGGTTTTAAAGAAACAGATGCGATCAAATTCTTCCCAACCTCTTACCCCACCCCTGTCCTGCAAATCTCACCTGGCACTTTTAAGACCTACCTTTTCCCAGCAAGAAAAAGAAGAAATGTCTTTGAACATCTCTGAAATTTATGTGGTTACAGTTTGCTGGAATAGAGTTTGTTGTTGAAAGCTTTATTTTCTGGTTTCTTTGTGGGGGCTGCAGAGGAACATCAAAGGAAGAAAAAATGCCACTTACACCAGGAAAGCAGGGGCCCCACATCGTGCCGGAAGAAATAAACCAGCCCCCGGGCCAAAGGAACAGAACACACCCATTTGGGGACAGGAAAACAATCATATCGAGTTGATTTTCTTTGGGGAGGCTCTTCACATTTTCTTGTGTATACGGGAGCTGAAACTCCCAAACCCAAAGCTGATCTGGGAGTTCTCGAATTCCCTCTCGCCACGCAGGCCTTGAGCCACATCATTTCACTTCCAATTACTTAATGCTCTTTACTGTTCTCTGGCTTATTTTTTGGCCATCAGTTTTGTCTTCCTCATAGACCCACGTCCGTGGGGCAGAGCCTTTGTCTTATACTTCTATTCCCCACGTAGTGCCTGATCCGGGGTAGAACACATGCTGTATTGCTCAGTACTTGGCTTAAAAATGCCTTTTCCTCACTCTGGAATCATGAGGATGGAATAAAATCCAGGCAACAGTTTACTTTTATGGTAAGATACTTGGTGGTGAATCCATATATACCAAGTTGGTGAGTGCATTATCATAGCAATTACCAGAAGGGAGGATCACTTCAAAGACGACTTTATGCACTGAGATGTTCACTGCCATGTTGTTTATAATAGCAAATAAAGTGGAGACACTTAAGTGTCCCTCGGTAGGAGAGGCTGGGTAAATTAGGGTATATCTATCCATACTGGGAGATAGTAAGGAAGCAACTATTTTGAAGAATAGGGTAGAACCAAATGTTCAAAATTGATATCCAAGAAAAGTTAGATGGTATGATGCAATCTGGGTAAAAAGGAAAAGGGATGCATGCACACATGCGATACATACATAGAAAAATTTTGGAAGGATACACAAGAAACTTCCTATCGGTTATGGCTGGGGAATGGATGGAGAAGTAAGGGGTGGATGTGTTTATCTGTTACTTAATTTTTCTGTCAGTGGTTGAATATTTTTATTATGACTGTTTGTTTTTATAAAATTTTTAAAAAAGCAACTAGTTAGAAAAACAAGCTATTTTTGGATGGCAATGAGAAAAGTTAACTCTAAAAGATGCCCTTCCCAGGGTGGGGGTCCAGGGGCAAAGCAGAGGAGGGTGAGGTGGGGTGGGGACAAGTCAAGTGGTTATTGGTGCTCTCTGTTCCCGGTCTGCTGGCCAAACCAAACAACCTTCCATCTCTATCCCATGAGGTGGCGACCGCATGGAGCATGAGGATGTTCTGAATCAGCTTATGGGGTGACTTAAGTTAGAACTTCAGGGACATTCACCGACCCTGCCACAGTCGCCACTGACCCCACCCACCCTGGAAGCTGGCCATAAAGCCCCGCAGCACCCAACACAGCGCTGACCACATGGTCAGGGACTTCACGGTTAGGGGCAAATCAGGTTACTTTCTCACTCACAAATCAGCAACGGCTCACCACTGCTTATTGTATGAAGTTCAAATTTACCTTGGCTCAGCCTTAAAGGCTTTTCTGAGATCAGCCCCAACATTTTCAAACTCATTTGCTAAAACTTCTCAGTATCTATCAGCATATAGACCAGCCCTGCTTGGGTTCAAATTCTGGCTTTGCAACTTACCCTTCTGTGCCTCAGTGTCCTCCTCTGGAAAGTGGGGAGGATGTTAACAGCACCCACATCATAGGGTTCGCATGGGAATTAAATGAGTTAATGTACATGAATGCACCCAGAAGGGTGACTGGCATGAAGTAGGTGCTACTCCCCTGTTGCCTAGTCCATCACGCTCCCCTCCCCTTACTCCTCGGTTCTGGCTGGAACACTTTCCCGGCTCAGTCTTACCCATCTTTCAGAAGCTCTATCAGGCAGTGCCTAATCCCTAATCCCCCCAGGTAGCGGAGGTTCTTGGGCCTTCAGAATCACCTGGGGAACTTGGCAAAATGCAGATTCCTGGGCTGGACTCCTAGCGACTCCACTGAAGTCTGCAGTGTGGCCCAGAAACCCGCACCCGGGTGACACGGGACCACCGCCGGAGAAGCAGGCTCTAAAGGGGCTCCTCCTTCGGACCAGCCAGCAGTGTGTTCCCCTCTTTCTCGTGGCCCTTCCCAACCTAATCGATATCCTGGCCTCGGGCCGACCATCCTGCTTTCAGTGCTGTCAAGATCAAGACGTGCGGCAAAATGTAGTTCTGGAGCATCTTACCCAACCAGCGAGCAGATGCCCGGTGGGGTCAAGCCTGCTTGGGAAAGGAGAGAGCTTCCTCAGAGAAAGAGGCCTGGCTGTCCTTAGTGGAAAGGCCTGTCAAATGCCCTGATGGACTAAACCCTCCATTGAAAAGACAATCTCTTCCCTCAAAACCCACAAGCTTCGTGCTCCTCGTAGCTCCCACACTTGTCTGCACATCGAGCTCGGGGAAAGAAGGTCTTGGGCTGACATCCCCCACGTTCCCCTTCTGGAACTCTGTAGGCTGCTTCAAAGATGGGCTAGAAAGACTCTATTTTGTGATTTTTCTAAAAAGTTTCCTGAAAGCATAAGAATCAAAAGGGAGTGAAAGCTTCCGCTGGTCAACAGGAAACCCCCCCTGCTCCCCAACTCGGCCCAGGGAACCTCACAGACTTCCTGAAGGTAAAACAAACACTGTGACCAGTTTCTACTCCTTGCAAGAATTTAATTCTTCCTTTCATATAAATAAGGCAGCATGAAACACCGAGAGCTCGGCTATTTTCCGCTTCAGAAGCAGCTTTGGTGCATAGAAGATCCCCACTGCCCCGCTGAGTTGTCTTCTCTGGATAAACAAGAGGCCAGAAGGTCATTTTTCAGTGAACTTCTCCCTGGAAGCCAAGGGGAGGCTGAGGGAGGTTCAGGCTTGGTCTTGGCTTCTGGAGCCTGGTTCCCGGCTGTGGGGTCTCCTCCAAGCACAAGCTAAGGATGGGGTGGGGGGGGGGAAGGCAAGGCATGGGCAATAATAAATATGGAAATTCACCCCGATTCTGGAAACAAATCACAACTGAATGGGGGCTTGGGGCTACTGCTGGGGGCCACGTGGGCATGACCACCCTTCCTGGCCCCACGCTGCCTGCTCCGGCGCTGGGGAGACCAGACCCAGGTCTGCGTGGTCCGACTCCAGCTTACATGGAAGGGTTCCTACAGGCCTCAGTGCCCCATCACAGCCGAGCCTCCTGCCCCAAGCGAACCCTGCCAGGCAAACCATCCATCTTCTGGAACCACTGGGGCCAGGTGAGAGCACCCCTGGGTGAGGGACAGAATCCTCCGCAGCTTGTGGTGAGCCTGACACCCCCACGGAATGGGGTCTGCTGTTCGGCAGGCCTGGCCAGCTTAAACCCTGGAGGGGAACTCAGGTGCTGGTTCAGGTGCGCTCCTTCTTGCCTCCCCCTTGGCTTGCTGCAAGGGTTACTGAGGCACTACCATGGGAGAAACTCCCAAAGGGCCAGCGAAGCCAGAAGTGGAGGAGGAGTGGCTTCCCAACCCCCGACCCAGGCCTGGAGACGGGCCAGCTCCCACCGCAGGCTCTGGCGCCTGCCCAGTGACCACAGCCCCCAGCAGTGCTGGGGTCAGTGACCTCTCTGGGGCCTGGGGGCTGGGTCGGCAGTTATCCCTGCGTGTTTCCAGTCGGCCAAGTCTCTTCGGGTCTTGGTCATCTGGTGTGGCTGGCAAAGCCCATCCAGAAAGGGGGGTTCTGTGCCGTGAGGGCGCCCCACTGCAGTGAATGGGTCTTGGGGCCAACGGATGGAGCTGGGTCTCCTCTTGCCTCCAGGCATGCTTGGTTCTAGGACTGCGACCCTGCTGAGGAAAACTCAGGGCTGTGGCATCCCTCCCTCCCTCCCTCCTCAGCTCTGCCATCTTCTCTGAACTGCGCATCAGCGCCCTGGGGACAGGTTCTACCCTTCGCCCCAGTCACCCTGTGTCTCTTGCAGCTTCCACCTCCGGTATCCGCCCTCCCCCACCACACGGATGGTCAGAGACCGGCTGTGGAGCTTGTCCCCAGCACGGTATACAGGTACCTATGGGGCTCAGGGCACAGCACACTGGGGTAAGGGGTGGGAAAGGGGGTGCACCCTGAGTGAGACACAGAGCTGAAAAAGTGGCTGACTGAAACTTCCCTCTGCCACCAAGTACCCACTGCTGTGCAACAGACATTGGCCTCTTGGGGCCTTGAATCTCTTCTAGGTCTTTTCTACGAATAGTTTGAAAGGACCCCTAATGTGCAGGCTGTGGATGGAAGGTTGCAAATTCCCACAAGTGTCCCTGTTGGTGCCTTGGCCGCGGATGCCTGGGGCCAAGGATTACTGGAAACAGGCTGCAGGGTCTTAACATGCATCCCCGTCAGCATTCCTGCAGATCCTCTGTTGATATTTAAGTAAAGCCTGGACCTGGGATGTAAAAATTACACCCGCATCAATGTTTGCGTTGTCTTTAGCTCAGCATCCAGAGAGGATTTTGTCATCATCTTGGCCGTTTGTGGTGATCCAAAAGTAAGCTGCAAAGGATCAACCAAACCCAGACAATAACCTTACCAGTAGGACCCCAGTGGTGTAAAAGCAAACCAGCTTTTCCAGCTTGGAATTCTGTTTCCTCCGCGGGCCACAGGGCCTGGCTTCCCTGGTGGGCTGAGCCCGGGCACCGCACAGCACCCGCTGCTCTCCCGGGCCGGGGCCTGCAGATGCCCCCCGAGGCGTGGACATGTGGGGTGCCCCGCGTCCTGGCCCCCTGGGTCCTGGACGCTCTACAAGACAACAGCTTTGTGGGGCGGGCTGGCCTGGTCTGAGGGGATATGCAGGGAATACTCGCGAATGAGCACCGGGGCGTTCTTGAGCATCTCGTAGAAGGAGTCCACTGTCTTCCGGTAGAGACTTCGCTGCAGGACGAAGGGTCGGAAGAGGTTGAGAGGCTCGGCCCTGCGCACGGCCTCAGGGAGTCCCATGCCCTCGGGCACCTTGCGGTTGCCGATGAAGAAGTGAGGGAGTTTCTTCTCCAGCAGGCTCTTCTCCAGGAAGCGGAGCAACTCGCGCAGCCGGGCGTCCAGCTGCCCCGCCTGCCAGTCGGCCGGCCGCCGGGACAGCAGGAGGTGCAGCAGGGCGGTCTTCACGTGGTAGTTGCCCAGGCCGCTGGGGCCGGTCAGGCGGCTCTGCTTGCACAGCAGGAAGGAGGCGATCTGCAAGCAGCTGAGGTGACAGGCCCCGTCGGGCAGTGCCTTCGAGGTCATCCGGAGGAAGTGTCGCTCGTAGACGGCAAAGGACAGGAGCCAGTCGGTGCTGGAGGCCGGGGTCTCCCCGCAGGGCTCCCTGGGCAGGTGGGCCACAAAGTACAGGTCCGAGTCGTCACACTGGATCACGGGAATCAGGTTGAAGGGCATGAACTTCCCCGAGCGGAACTTGATCTTGAGGGAGCCCGGGGAGTCCAGCTGACCGAAGGCCAGGTCGAACTCGTATTTGTGGGCGATGCGGTGCCAGGCTCTGGTGAGGGCCGTCTGGAACCACTTCATGACCTGCGCCGTGTCCAGGTACGGGGGGTCCCCGGCGCACAGCTGGGCCTCCAGCCCGCGGCCGGGCCGTGCGGCGCTGTGGCTGCCGTGGAGGAGACACAGCATGTCCTCCCCCAGCGTGCTCTTGCCGCACACGCAGCCCGGCACGTCCTCGTCGGCCCGGACCACCCTGACCTGGCCGTAGCCCTGGCGGTCCAAGGGCACGGAGCGGCGGGAGCAGCAGAGCTCCGGGCGGAAGTGGTAGGGCTCGGGGGGCACGAAGGGCACAAAGAGGTCGCACAGCAGCGGCCTGTCCACCTGCCAGTTCTCATACATGCTGTCCACGCCAATGAAGTCCTCCACCTCCAAGTCCGCGTCCCGGCTGCAGAGGCTCCTCAGGGCCTCCAGCAAGTCATCCACGAAGCCTTCCACGAGCTCCCGGGTGCGGGCCGCGTCGGCCGTGGCGCCCCGGATGCAGCGCTCGTAGAAGTGCTGGAGCGTCTCCTTGTTGGGCAGGGTGAGGCTCCGGAGCGGGGTGCCCTCCAGGCCGGGCAGCTCGTCCTCTTCCCCGCCCAGGCAGTCCGCGGAAGGCCCATCCTGGTGGTCCTGCCGCCACACCTCGATCACCAGGAAGAGGATCATGCAGAGGGTGCTCCACAGGTCCCAGGCCGTGCGGGTCTCGTTCTGCTGCTGGCCTTCGTCGGCCACCTGCTCCAGGGCCTCCCTCTCGGCCGCCAGCCGGGCCACCTCCTCCTCCAGGCGGAGCTGCTCCAGCTGCATCTTCTCCTGGTGCGCCTGCATCTTGCGGATGATCTCCTCCTCGCTCTCGGGGACCGTGGCGTTCTCCCGCGGGAACAGCAGCGGGTGGTTGATGATGGCCGTCACCACCACCAGACACACCCGGAAGAGCCCCAGAGCCATGGCTGGAACGTGCCTGCCATACAGAGAGACAGATCAAGGGTCACACCCAGCTGCCCTCCAGGCCACTTCCTCCCCGGACCCTCTCACCGACCTCTGTCCCACAGAGCTGAAGAAGGTCTCACTGTCTCCCGCCCAGCCCACAGTCTCCCCCCAGCCCGTGCCTCCGTGGAGCCCTGGAAGAAAGAACCGCAAAGTCCCTGCACCCAGCAATCCTTGGCTGAGCAACTCGTGGAGGCTGTCCTGTTTCTGTCTGCCCAGGCTTTCCTCCTTCTGGAAGCAGCAACCCACTTTCCCCAGGAGCCAACCCTTTTCTGGCCCCTTTCCTATAGCTTGGGTGGGGATAACTCCACCCCCAGCTCCAGCGGTGAACATATAACCCGGGGCCCAAGCTAGTCCACACCCCCACCCCCACACTGTGGATTCAGTGAGGAGCACAGGACCTCCCTCCGGCCAAGGGGAAGGACACAGAGGTGGGATTTGCTGGGGCCGATGGTGAGAAAGACTAGGTTTGCCAGGGAACAGAATCGCAGCTGCAGGGGGGCTCTCTAGACCTCAAAGTAGGGGTCTGCTTGAGAAAGATGCCAACGTAGACAAAAGCAAATTCCCTGGACCGAACTATGCCTGAAGCCATTGCCTCTGGACTTTTAAAGTCATACAAGTCAATAATATCTTCACTTTAAGTCGGTTTGTGTTGTTTTCCTATATACTTCAACCCACCTCTCCCCAGCGAATGCCTTGTGGCCAATGTGACTTTCCTCAAGGCAGTTAAGCCTAGTGGTTAAGAACAAGAAGGCTGAGTTCCAAGGCCAGCCCTATCATTGATTAGCTGTGTGCCCTTGAGCATGTTAACACACTTCTCTGAGACCCAGTTTCCTTACTGGACGAGAGGAAGGCCATAGGACCCACAGGGTCACAGTACCGAGGGATGCGGGGACCCATGCAGATGGTGTACATGGCACGGTGGATGGTGCAGAGCATAGATTCACTGAACAGCAAGTGTTTTGTTTTTTTTTAAATTTTTTTATTCTTACGTTAATCCCCATACATTACATCATTAGTTTTAGATGTAGTGTTCCATGATTCATTGTTTGTGCATAAC